TTCTGTAGATATCCCAAAGTGTTAATTATAACAGGAGCAGTTAAATTCTTTAGAGCAGTTAAATTCTTTGGCTATGAAAGCATAACAGTTTTTAATAGATGTATCACCTGGTAACCTTGAGCATTATTAAATATATGGAGACTGAAAGACATGGTAGAAGCAATGGAAAAGTCTGGCCAGACTGGGTAATTTGTTTTAGACCTATGGAGAAATCTATTAACCATTTCTTCTATAGACCAATTTGATTAGGAAGTAGGACAAGCTGTTCTTTCATTACTTACCAAAACCATACTGCACTTTGTATCAATTATTTGGCTGTCTGCAGCACATAGATTAGAATAAAGGCCTTTCTTCAGGTTTGTGAATGTTGTGGATTGCTGATTAGTAATTAAAGCACTGAATGAAGAAAATTAGGCCAAAACTGAATGGGAATGAGAAAGTCTTAATTTTGTGATACAGATGTTAGAAACAGATTGTCTTGAGCAGCCCATTCAACATAGTGACATTGTACATAACCATGGAGTGTTTGCCTCCCATGGAAAACTCAGGCCGAATGCCTTGGAGATAGTTTCCGCTCCCATGCCTTGTGATGTAGCTGTATGGGTATTAATTTAGTGAAATATCCTGTCTGCCAGGTGTGGGAACTAGCTGATTTTATTGTAATACCAGATCATTACTTAATTCATATGCAACAGAGTGCAGCACATGGAAAGCATTATAAATCTATTTACAATGTGGCTGGTCTGATGATAACATTGTATTAAATTCCCAGGTGAGGCAATTTAAGCAATTGCTTTGCCATGTGCACTCCTTGGAAATTAAATTCTCATATACACTTTAGTAATAAACCACCTTCATTGTTATGCTTCTGCTAGTGGCAGGCCGTAGAATCCTCATTCTGGTTATGTATACCCTGTTTCACATGTAGAATCACACAGGAGGTGGGATCACAGATCACAGTTCTTAATTAGTTTAAGCTAAGTTAATTTTCATTTTGTTTCTAGTTTAGCAGTGCCTGTCCAGGAATATATTCAGTTCAGTTGGGAAATGTTTAAGGCTTGGGTCAAGTAGATAGATTGTTCTACGCCAAATTGCCAGATAGAACTGAGCAAGGGTATTTGTTTGAACTTGGCTTTAAGGAAATCTGCCAGTCAGTATGCAGAAGTTCTGTTCATAAACCAAGTGAAAACCGCTTGGAATCTGAAAGTCTCACTTTCAAAACCAAAGACTCACTTTTGTCATCAGTTTAAAATGCCCACCGAAACTTAGTTCCTCTAACTTCCTTGGGATAACAGTGACTTGTTAATTTGTCATATTTTTTTATAGTTTATATATGGTCTGTAGCTTTTTCTGTCCATTTGTGACCAGTTCACCCAAGTGTATAAGTTAGAAGGAATAAGCTTTATACACACACAACTGAAAGTGAGGAATGCTTGTATTTAACATTGTGTGTATGTGTGTGTGTGGCAACTATTGTCAGCTGAAGCTTTTCCACCCTTATGCTACAGACTCAAAATTGCAATAGATTACAAACTGCATAGAGCTTCTGTCTTCTCCAGAAGCCACATATAAAGCACCAGTAGACAGTCGTAACTGACAACTAAGACTAAAAATGTTGACAATTTCTTGATTTGCCTGGTTAGCTTATGTATAGAAGTCATTAACTATTTATAAAATGCATTATGAATTGGGTTCCTTCAAACTGTAGCTGAGTGTGTGACATTTTCAGCTCAAATTCTCATGCTTGCATTTGGCTAAAGTACAGATTTTATACAGTTGATAATAAAGTAAAATTATTTTAGTTAGTTTATCAAGATACAAGATACGTTTTAGTTTCATTAACTTTGAATCTTCCTGATTAAAGTATGGCATAGTACTTGGTAATGTAGAGTGAGATTTTTAAAAGTTCCATAAAAGGTGAAATAATTTATTGATTTTTGGAGGAAAATTACCCATGAAATAAGCAGTTTGTCACTGAAAGGAATTTACATCTTTGGGAATTCAATTAGTTTAATGATGATCCTGCAGGCTAAATTATGGTTGATTACAGCCAGCTTACTTAAAATTCCAAACCATAAAAAATTAGGAGAAAATACCAATGCCTGGCATTTAAATATCATTCTTAATAAAAGAAAGTCTTGATTTTTAGAAAAATTTTGTAAAATGGTGCTCACGTGTCAAGAGTTCAGTTTCCAGCAATGCTTGTATAATTTTCATGAGGAACTATTTCTGATATTCGAAATGAGTTATCTTTTCATTCTTGAGCAGAAGTCAGTCCTATCAGGGAACATTTGTAAACTCAGCATATCATTTGCGTAATTATATCTAGAAAGCTACCCAAATGACCAGTTTTTACCATCCCAATGGAAAAGAATGACATTTATAGGGACCACCCTTCAACTGTGGATAAATCCTTCATTCTCCTCTGTTGCTGAGTGCGTACACTCTTAATTGCTGGTTTTCAAAAGCAATGGATTCTAACCAAAACAAGATGAGATATTTAGGGATACATTCTTGTAATGTTATAATTCTTTTGAAATATAGTAAATATAATGTAGTATATTTAGTATATATAGAAATATAGTAAATCAAAATATAATTGAAAAATCTATGCCAATTTGTTGGTGTTTTGGTGAAAAAAAACAAAAAACAAAAACAATCTCCGTATGATATTCTTGCACACTGAGGAACGTTTTAGTCCCCCATCGTGATGAAATGAATCATTAAAAAGGCAGCTCTGATACCACAGCCTGTTTAAAGGTTCTCATTTCCTTTAATGCTGTAAAATACTTTGGCTTAGCTAGTTTGAAACTACTGTAGTGGGGGAATCTCCATGTGGGCAAAAGAAAGGTTCGGCTTGATCTAAATATTATAGTAAGACCATGAAGTATACTGTCCTTGTAACTTACATTTTTCAGTGCAGTTCTGTGTGAAGTTAATAGAAATGGCTAAATAACAGCAGCTTCAGTAAATACAGTAAGAGAAGCAGGTTTCATTAAATGCTGTTTGTGGTGGTAAGAAGTCTGGCATGTTCACAAGTGAATGAATTGTGTCACTCCTGAATTGTTGAGACATTTGATATAGATACCATTACTAACCTCAGGCTGACTTAACTTTTCTACTTTGTCCTCTCTGCAACATCGTTGCCTTTAGTTATCTACCTACAGACTTATTGCATTTGCCAAGGTATAAGATAGACATTTGTAGCAGGGAAGGCAAGCTTGGGGTAAAGACTCAGGGCAGGGATGGGATGCCATCATCTACTTTATACTGAAACATTTTGCATTTTCTTTGCATCTTTTTCCTGAGTGTATCCAGAGGGTAATAAAATGGTGAGGAAATTTTGTGTGATTGAGTGAGCACTGAGCTGTGAGTCAGGACCCCAGGGTTCTAGTCTCAGTTTAACCAAAGCTACCTTTAGAACTCCATGAGACTGGCTCCCCCTCCCTAAAAAAAAATAAAGGGGTATCTAGATTTATTAATTTATTATTTATTTTTATCTATACTCCATTCAGCCCTTTTCAACTGGGTTCTACCAGAGAGTTAAGCCCTAATGCCCTAAGGCTTCTGTTCTATGTAATAAATTAATTTTATCTTATGTATCATTCTTAGGAGAACTGAGAAAATAGTTACTGAAATAATTTTCTGTGTTTTGTGGTTCATATAAGACCTACAACTGAGGAAGGCTGCAACTTTAAAATGATTTAAAATCTACTGGTTTTTCTTGTTGAAAGTCCTTTTAAATTCGAATATAATATGTGTGTATGTTTAAGATGTGAGCTCTGTGTGGCAAAGCAGTGTTACTCATTCACTAGTTTAGAATTCTAATTAAAAATCTTGTTGACTTCAACTCATGGATTATGGATAATCCTTTCAAACTGCAATAATTTTTCAGATCACAGTTGGACAGGTAAGAAATTTTAAGTTTAAAACTTTAGACCCCAAGTGAGAAAAAGATTGCCATTTTCTAACTGCCATTTTTAAATCAACTGTTTTTGCTTAGTTCAGAAGCAGAAAAGACAGCAAAGTAGCCTATAAATCTGCATCTGGGTCTGAATAGTGACGCCAAAGTAGCATCTAAGGATTGCATTGTAGCTTCACAACAAATATTCTGACTGAGACTTTTAGCTTTTCCAAATGTGTGTAATTTAGATAATACACGAATTGCTTGCAGACATGTCCCTCTGACTTTACAGGTAAAGGTAGAATTCTTGTAAAACAGAATTTCAGTGTGTGAAATGTTGACTCATAGCCTACTTGTCTTTATTTACTGGGATTGTGTAAAGTTGACTCATAGCCTACTTGCTTTTATTTATAAGGATTGGGAAATTTAATTCGTTTTATCACACACACACACATACACACACACACACACACTCCCATACTTTTCTGTAGGCAATTATTTATAGAGGATTTAGAGACATTTAAATTACTGTTTGGAAATGGGATGGGCTTTTAAATTTAATCTCTTTTTAGTTAGTAACATCACTATAATAAAATATAGATGTACAATTTTCCAAGCATTCTAGTGTGTGTATGCAGATACAATATTATCCTAGTATTAGAAATTTTAAAAGACCTATATTGTAAAATCCATTTCCTGCCACAATATTAAAAAACCCTATATACCCTGTTTTAATTACAATCTGGTGAGTTTTGCAGATATACAGCTACATCGCTGTATTTCCTTCAGCTTTGGTGTTCTTATTTGAATAACTGTGTATGAAATAATATAGCAGTTCTGATCCATTTTGAATATTAATAGAGTACTTTACACTGTAATTTTCTTTCATTATTGGCATTTGAAAAACCCTTCTAATTTATATTAAACTTCTCAAGTTCAAGAACTTTACACAACTTTGGTTTGCAAATTTTAGCAAATAGGTTTCCATTAGGGGGCTCTCGAGGTTTGAGATGATCAGCCTTGATACCAATAATGCTCCGAAGCCTTTACTTGCTAACGTTCATCTTGCTCTCTCTCTTTTTGTTTTGTTTTATAGAAAAGGTCACGGATCGCCTACAGTGACGAAGTACGCAATGAGCTCCTAGGGGACGATGGGAATTCCTCCGAGAACCAGGTAGAATGCTAATCAGGAAGGCCCGGTGGGTGGCTGGAGGGTGAAGGAGGTCACTGGAGCACTGGGCTCTCAAGCTGCTCCTTAACAGTATTAGCAGCAACTCATGTGGAAGGGACACTGTTTAATGCAAAGCTGGAGTCTTAATCAACTTCAAAATGTTTCTTGGAGATCTTACATTTAACCCTTTACCTTGGGATCACTGTCTGCTATCTTTTAAAAAAATCTTTTCTTCTCTTTTCTTTATTATTTAGTACTTAAGGAATAACTTGAAACACACTGTTTGCAGACAAAGCCAAGGTCTTCACCTCAAACACATGTAAAAGGAATAAAAAAGTACACAATGCAGCTTTGATAATAATGCAGTATAATTAAATCAACACTGGAAGCAAAACAAATGAAAGTAAGCTTTCAAAATTCAACAGGGCAGCTCAATCTCCTATTGTGTAGCTTCCTAAAAATACATTCAATAAAATGCAAATTGTAAGAACCAGTGTGAAACTTGGATGCTCCTATAGAGGTACTGCCTCTGTCAAATAATAACAATAATAATAGGAAAAGTCGTTTTGCAATTTAAGATCTGCATAAGCAAAAAATAAGGTACAATTTCTTCTTAAAAGGGCCTATAATTTGACTGTCAATTCTCATTGGGTCACACAGTAGTGTCATGAGTCCAATTAATGTCCCACTTCTTTTTTTGAATTAATACTGCAGATTTCATTAATTCATATAGGTAATATTTGACTTTAAAAAAGTGTTCCATGAACCTCAATGCAGAGATGATTTTTAAAATGTCTCAGACAACCCTAGCGACTGATTCCCTTTGACACTTTTAAAGAAAATAAATGATAGGGAACTTCAGAAGCAAGATCTGAACATGTTTATTAATGTTACTTTGGCAAGTATTATAAAGGTCTCTACTCTGCCTAACTAAAAATGAACATAAATCATTGAGTAAACCCAAATTTTAATAAGATTGTAAAATATAAATAATATATTGATATACATTTTAAAAATTGAATAATTGTACTTACCATTTCAAATAAATATTATAGGTCTATATGTGCTGCATCTAGATTACTATTTACTATAATGTTACTATTATAAGCAGGGATGTTGCTTATGTGATTAAGGTCCCTATCCATCCACCCAAAAAAGGAGAATCACCGAGCTGATTATGTTTGTTTTGAAAGATCTCACCCCCTCCACTATTTGGATGTTATCAGCTTGAGTTCAGACATGTAAACACTTTAAGATTTGACTTGGGATTTCAGCTTTCCTGATTGAAATGTGAGAATAGCTAAGGGAAAATAAATAAATAAAATGAACACATCAAACAGAAAAGGATGATGTGATAAAAAGGTTTTGCTCATAATAGATTAAATAATGTAAGGATGAGAGAGAAAAATATTTTCTTCCTTGTGTAAGTGAGATTTAGGTTGCTTATAGCTCTTGAAGGAGTGAATCATAATTTTATTTCCTATCTTTACAGCAGACAAAGCATTCTCTCTTTTTTTCTCCCAAAAAATGTGAATGCATAGTTCTCATGTCAGTTCTTTAAAAAGCTATAGATCTTTCCCTCATTTGAAACTATTGCCTAATAGGGAAGGAAAGGAAAGGAAGGGGTATTCCTGTCTATTCAGACTCCTTTATTGTAATGGGTGTTGTAGCACTATGACAGGGATCCCTCTTTTTTTGTAAGTATGTTCACTTCTCTTAATGGACATTTTATGTGCCTAAAACATTTGTCTTACATACATATAGGTATGATTTTTATGCCTAAAGAAAAATATTTCACAAAAATAGATTGAGTTCATATTTTCTGAATTTTTCAAATTATATTCCTGTCACTTTTAAGTGATTACACAGAGACTTCCCATGGACTTGTATAAATCAAACTTACAAATTCTGAAAGTGCTTGGAGAACCTGAAGTTTAGTCGTAAGGAGCTGTCACTTCCATAAATAGAGTATGATAAATGAGTCATGGGTATGTAACTGTTAGATTATTACTTAGGTGCACTTTTCAGTCTAAAATTTGAATTAGGTTTGAAAGTTCAAAGAAACCACACAACATTTTGGATATTTAGTTACCAGGTCTAGAAAAATTTCCATATCATAATGAAGAAATTAAATTTTGCTTTTAGGTTCTTTATCATAATATAGGAATTAAAATCCCTCAAACTAAAACATCCTTAAACAGGTCACTTGAGAATAACTCTTTATTCTGTATCAGTATTCATTCGGACTGTGGAATTAAAACAGAAGTCCTTTCTTTAAAAGAAGAAAGGATTTTAAGTTGGCTCTTCATATTAGTTTTTATAGCTGAGTGGCAGAGAAGATAGTTTTTTCTAGGTAGGCTTACCTATAATTTATATAAGAAAATATTTTCTGCCTACAAATAAGTTTATTTTCAAGTTAATTTTTGATAAATTGATTTTCAGAACTTACTGGCTTATAGACTTTTAATACACAGAGAAAACTTGGAAATAAACAAAATGAGACAAAAAATAGCAATACGTGTTTCATTGAAATTGGAATATGTCAGTTTTTAAAATCATAGATCAGAAAACGAAAATAATAAAGAATTCATAGGAAGGTTGCAAATAGACAAAATAAACTAAGTACTGACCATTTAGTTATTTTTGATGCAGTATATACATCCTCCCTATTGTGGCTTTTTTGTGGTGATTTAAACAAATGTGAATGCCATACCTATTATTTCTCATTCTGCCCATTTATAATGCTTTTTTTTTTTTAGGCATCTAAAACCTGACTGTTTATACACATAATAATAATCTTCCAAGTAACTATAGAATGTATTAATTTACTTACATATATAAGCATTTCCACCACAATTAGAAAGGTCCCTCATATAGTACACAATTTCATTTCAGTTCAAATTAATTGCTTTGTATAAATTTATTTCAGATTCATATCCATTTCATACAACCAAATATAATTCGTCCCTGATTTACAAAGGTGGAACAAAACTGCCTACTTTGCACATTTGAGTACTAATCTTGGGTTATCAGCTTTCCAAGACCTGCTGTCTTAGGCATTATCCTTCTATTCTTTTAAAATATCACATTTTCCATACAGCAACAGTTTAGTTTTTGAAAGAATTGAGTTTTTTAAATATAGTGATGTTGTATTTAGAATGGAAACCTTGATAGTTGTTAACTTGATTTAGTTTCATGAAGACTATTCTCAGAAAAGGAAAACAAAAAACCATCCCCTTCATAGTCAAGTATCATAATGGGCAAATAAAATGTTCCAAGCAATACCTTGCGAATAGTCTCTCAGTTTCCATATGAAAATTATGTTGATCAGTGAATAATCCTGAATAAATGAAATTTGAGTAAATCCTAAATAGAAGTTTCAAAGAACGATGTATAAAGAGTAAGATATTTGCAAACATGCCAAAATTTTTGTGCTAAAGCAATATTCAGCAGATAGGACTGCTTAGTTTTTAATACAAGGTTCTCGTAAGTTCCGATTTGAGCTTGCTGTGCATAAAGTGTGTCAAACTTCAGCCACAGAGCAGGGGGTGAAGTCGGTCAATTTAATTCCCCAAGATCTAAAGAAGGTCGGTATCATTTCATATCGCCCTGGCAGAGCAGATCATTACCAGGCACAAATCTGTTCGTTACGTGCTGGGGGTTTATAGCAAAATAAATAGACTGTCATCATAAGTTCAGAAAATTGTGTGTTCGACCCACGATAATGTGTAAAGGGCGTTTAATAGAGTTCAGCATTTATTCGTTATCTGTATGCGGACAGAGACGCCAGTCGCGTTATCAGCTTTAAAAAAAAAAAAAAAAAAAAATTGGGGAGTTGCGGGGTCACGTGGCGCGGCGCCCACTCGGAGGCGCGCGGCCGCACATGCTCCGCAGAGCCGGTTTGATTTCAGGCGCCCAGAAGGCTTCCCCACCAGAGATTCCACTGGTTCAAACCAGCGCAAACCAGATTCTTTGCAGCCCACAAAGGACCAGATTACTTCTTGTATCAAATTCTGCATTGAGGGGGGGACCTCTTTGTTTCAAAAAAAGCTGTTGATTATCATAACTCAACATGGTGGCCTGGCACTCTTTCATGTCGCCATGGCGGAGCCAGCAACTCGACCAAACGAGAAGCCACTACTTTCCGTCCCGTCGCAGCATTGTTAATTTCCAGATATAGACCATCTTTTGTTTACTTGAATGAAAACTCTCAGCCCTAAAAAAAAAAAAAAAAAAGATAGAGATTAAAACCCCTCCCATTACCTAGTTTAGCTGCAAATCCGGCGTAGAGCTTGGAAGCAGCCATGCAGCACAAACGAGATAGAACGTTTTTTGTTTGGAACCTATTGAAAAAACAAATGGGGAGCATTTTAAACACTCATTGATTATGGCAGGGTGGCATGCCCCAAATGGTCTCCATCGCAGAGGAGTAGTTTTAAACTTTGGCCCTGTAAGTATCATAGTCAAGTGATGAATGGTGCCCCCAGAAAGAAAAGATAACTGCGATCAATTCCCAGATCGTCTCTTTCTGAGCATTAGTGTTCGCCTCTTTCTCCCGTGATGTTCGGAGAGCAGAGAGAAAGATTTCGATATGTGATATAGGCCAGGTATTTCGGTTTAAAATTTTACCTCTTCTGGGGTAGAAGAGTCACTTTGCACATGAAATGATGAGGGAGGGCCTTTACTCGTACCCAGTGGGTGGTTGCTGAGAGAATGAGCGAGCGTATTAATTAAAAATAATGACAACTTCCTGTATATTTTGAAAAGACAACATTAAAAGTTTCGTTTTCACTAAATGCACTGTGAGGCATTATGTAATATATGCTGTACCCATTTTATGAGAGATTCATAACAATTTGAAATCTCATTCTTTTGTACTTGAAATACTTTTCATATAACAAATGAAATAACAGAATAAGCTGGAATGTATGCTGCCTTCTTTGAATTGGAGACAAAAACAGCATTAAGCATTGAGAAATCCAGGCTATAGCAAACATGATACT